GCTCAGGGTTCACATGAGAGTAGAAGGAAATGATAGAAAGTGAAGATAAAAAGAAATAGAACCTGATAAGAAGGGACCTTGGAAACACTACTCAATACTTTGGACTTTAGCCTGTAGCCAAAGCAATTTATTAGAGACCTTCACTGAGAGGAGTGATTCAACCAGTTCTCTGTTTCAGAAAGCTAAATCTAGTAGCAGTATAGAATATTTTAAACATGTTAAGAAGAGATCGGCAGAACACAACTTCTTAGAGAAGAAAGATTATTTAGAAAAGATAAGCCCAATACTATGAAATAAAGTACATTTGATTATTTGATTGTTTATGAAAAGATCTTTTTTTATGTTTTCTAGGCAAATCAGTGAAATTCTCTAGAAGAGTACCATGGGTTCATTTCTGTAAGTCATATGTGATAATATAATTTAGAAATTACAGATAAAGAGGTTGAATCTCATAATCAGAAGCTACCTTGGAATGTATTATGTTTTTTACTACACGAAAATGAGAAAGTGGAGCTTAGAGAAGCACTGGTAGTTTGTGCCTCAGAAACTTTCAAACTATTAACTGACGTCTTGTGTAAGGAACTCAGGCTACTTTTCAACAACTAGCGAATTCCTCCTTAAATTGATCCAAATTGATTATGACTTGAAGATTCTAAAATAACAGTAGTTAATATAGGTAAAAACCTTTAACGTGGAAGAAGAGGGTAGGAGTCTACATGGAAAGAGGCATTGTTTACGTTCTCACAGATTGTTCTGTATGCTAACCCTTCAGCCACCATCCTACCCCATATTAAGAACTACTGTTTTAGAAAACAAACAATTTAGACCTGAAGTCTCCCTGTCCCCACATTGCACCACTCAAAGGCACAAACAAACAGCTCAACTGGACTCACTGTGCCTTAGTCATCTGATCAGGGGATAAGCAAGAAATCTGGCCATCTTAATTTCAGGTTCTCATCTTTCATCCCTTCTCAAAGATGTTCCAATTTTAATGTTTACCAGAAAGGTAAATGACAAGGCTTTGACTGTCAGCCAAATCAAAGTTATTTCTGATGTGACATCATTAGCTAAAGTAGAATTGAAAAGCAAATGTGATGGTAGTTATTGTTGTTGTTGGTACCTCTTTACAGCAGCCATTGCCAAAGAAACTAAAAGATATCCATTTTTAGTTAAACCCTGACTATTGCTATTTTGTTTGGTTTTCATTTATTTTACTTTTATGTAAAATGAACAATTGGCTAGTGAGTTAGTTCAAGGTATTAGATACATATAATAGTTTCATACATTCTGTAGTCATTTATATTTAGTATTTTGCCATATAAATTACCCAATTCACAACAGGTAAAGGAAAACAAATACTACCTCTTGGGAAAAGTCTATTAAGGCAGAGAAGGAACTTCACATCATTTGATATCAGGAGATAGTGTTGATCTGAAACCAGCACCCACACAGAAAACATCCTGTGTAATGTATACAGGCAATCAAATAAATTATAACATTGAATTCATATTACATTTTTAAATGAATTGTTGTGAGAATGCATTATTAATTGTTACAGGTACACATAATTATTGCAAGAATGCATAATATCTTCAAGAAGACAAAAGAAAACAAGATGAGTCTCTTAAAAGTATATTTTATTTGTAGCACGAATTTGTAGAAAATCATTCAATAGTCTTTTTAAAATAACATTAAAATCATAAATCAAGAAAAATAATTGTGCTTTAAGTGGGAGTCATTTGGTCATTTTATTATACTAAACTAATATGTTATTTTCTTCTTTCAGATACTGATGCAGAAATCAGTGAAATCTACAAAAATTTTCTTTCTTTTCCAAAGACTATTTCATTCTGTTGTATTCAGAGTATTCATCTCACTACATTGATTTGTTTGTGTTGGTTTTTCCTTGGACTTAATTTATATTGAAATAATATTGATAATTCAATAAATAAAATAGATAATTTAGACTAATGGTGATAAGGTCTGAATGAAAACTACTCTAGGGAGGACTGAAATGGCAATCATTCAGCCTAGTCTGGAGTCCAATTATACAACTACTATAGGATGATGTTAGTATTGGTTTTGAATGTAATAGGTTTTTTTCCTGAACAAGCATATTTTGTAGTCAAGGATGATTTTGTCACAAAACAGTAAAGCATCTGTGTTTAACCTATGGTAAACAACATGTTAATGAACTATGCTATCCATGACTTAATGGGCAGTTCAAATGCGACATTTACAGTTTTTCATCTCTTTTATGCCAGCACACAATCAATTCATCACCAATTGTCGTTTGATCTACTTCACAAAATATACCCCCAAATCCTAATACTTCTAACCTGCTCCACTGCATCTAGCCAACTCTAGCTATTGTTATTCCTAACAGAAATGGAGAAAGAGCCTCCTTTTTTTTTTTTTTTTTTTTTTTTGCGAAGTCTCACACTGTCGCCCAGCTGGAGTGCAGGGGCGCCAACTCCGCTCACTGCAACCTCCATCTCCCGGGTTCAAGTGATTTTCCTGCTTCAGCCTCCCGAGTAGTCGGGACTATAGGCACGTGCCACTACGCCCGGCTAATTTTTTTTTATTTTAGTAGAGACAGGGGTTCACTATGTTACCCAGGATGGTCTTGATCTTTGACCTCGTGATGTGTCTGCCTCGGCCTCCCAAAGTCCTGGGATTACAGGCGTGAGCCACTGCGGCCTGCCGGAATTGCCTATTAACCGGTCTACCTGCTTCCACCTTTCCTCCACCTGATCACATACACACATGCATTATCCACTGAGCAGTTACAATCAGACGTCAAATCAAACACTATTCAGATAAGATCTCTGAAAAGCCTCTGATACTTTCTCTTTTAACATGGAATATATTCTAAACACCTCTCCAAGGACGCAAGACTTACCTGGGCGAACTCATTCTAACTTCCTTCCCTATCATTCTCCATCTTGCCCCATGCTCCTGGTGCAGCAGCTTTTTTTTTTTTTTTTTCCTTTTTCAAATATGTTGGTTTTGATTTTATCCAAGAACCTTTGCCCTGATGTATGAATAAGTGCTTTTCCACTTTGGGGGTCTCATGTAGAAATCCTGCTTCAGAATGGTCTTCCCTGAACACTCTATCTACATACATCCCTGTTCTGCAACCCAGTGCTTTTCGTTCTATTACTGACTTCTTTTCCTTGTAGAAGTTACTATTACTGCTTTTTACCTTTTTGATTTATTTGTGTATTGTGTTTGTTGTTACCCTCATCTTATCTCCACAAAAATATATGCTCCATAAAAACAGGCATTTCTGTGTCTTATTCAGCGCTTTATCAGGGCCTGTAGCAATGCCTGGGACATATTAGGTGACCAGTGAATATTTTTGGAAGGAAAAAAAAAACAGGAAAGAATGAAGTAACAAACAAAGAGTGAAGGAAGAAAACATTTTTACAAACATTCAGAGTATTTTTATTTTGAAATAATTTTGTATTTTTCTCTATATCCTACCTTGGATCAGAATATTACTGTTATGTATAGCCATGAGGACATGGTCTCAAAAACTGAGAAACTTTCTTAGATAGTAAAATTGTTAACTTGAGATGTTTGCTTCCATCTTCTAGAGTCCAGTAGGAGCTAACTTTAATTTGACTTAACCAATAATCTGAAACTATTATTATAGTATCTGTCTTTCACAGATATATGCAATATTCACCTCTAAATATTTAATGATAAATTTGTAATCATACATGATATTCAAGTTTAATGATTATGTTGTCAAAATTCAGGCTTTTTGTATGAATTGAGGATTTAAAGAAGAATTTGTAAATATGACTGGATAAGAAACAACAGGAAGGTGAAGAAGATGAATCAAAATATAAACATCAAGAGGCTACAAAGTCTTAGCAAATTATAATTGCTAATAGGACATTATGTGGTATTTAGTATCACATTTAGAATGTAGTCATTTGTTATGTTTTTCATGGGGCAAGAGAAAGAATTTATTCCAAGAAAAGTTTGGGATTTTTAAAATAAACTTGACATCTTATCATGAGCAATATTTACAGTTTTTGCTTTTACTACAAGGTACTGTAAAATGTTTTGCTCTGATAGTTGTGAGAGTATGAAATTTAAGTCTATCACTACAATAATATTTTGTTTTTAGTGTTCATTTTATTCCTCCTGACTGCACTGAGATGAGTTAGATTGAGTGAAAGGTAAACACTAACATTTGAATTGATGTAATTTCCACTGTGGAACAAACTGTTGTTAGTAAACAGACATCAGCTTTGAGACACAGAAAAGTCATCCAAACCGGAAGATTGGGAACTTCCTCAATTACTTTGGCTTCCATTTATTACATTCAATTAGTCAAAAATGTTGTTAATTATATATTTTAAAGGCTATTTTTGGTAAGGTCTATAACACATTCAAAATACTACATACAAGTGTGTATTATCATAAATAATCCAAAAGAAAACATACATGTAACTACCACCATCTGGAAATTTCACACTAAATTATAAAACATTTCCATCACTGCATATATTGTTTAATGCCCCTTTATCAATCCACCTTCTTCCTTATATGTAGAGTTAAAGACTACTTAGTGGATTAGGGTAACTCATTCTACTTTTAAAAATGATTTTTCCACCTCTAACGTATTCTATAAAATAATATTGTTCACTTTTGCCTACTTTTGAGCTTTTTATTGAAAAATGCTACTGTAAGATTATTTGGAGTATTATATCTTTTGATCAATATTAAGATACATTTGCAGTTTTGTATGTGTGTTTATATCCATCTTACATACTTCTTTACTGTATAGTGTTCCATTTAGCCACTGGAAAATGATATAATGTCGTTGCTTATAGAAAGTGTCTGATTCTTATTCAGTGCTACTTTCCACAGAAAGGTAACTATTCTCATTTATGATTAAGGAATGTTCACTCCTTGGTGTATATGTGCCACATTTTCTTAATCCAGTCTGTCATTGATGAACATTTGGGTTGGTTCCAAGTCTTTGCTATTGTGAAGAGTGCCGCAATAAACATACATGTGCACAACCTGCACGTTCTGCAGATGTACCCTAGAACATAAAGTATAATTAAAAAAAAGGGGGGGATAAAAAAAAAAAGGACTAGAAAAAAAAAGAAATGTTCACTACTTCACACTGGTATCAACCGCAAGGACCGCTATACTTCTCTAGCAATTGCCAGATGACCCACTACACATTCTTTCTTCTATTTCTTTCTTTTGTGGCCAGAAAGACAGGTCCTCAAAGAGGTATAAGTTTGTATGTATGATTCCCTAGCTTTTTTCTAAAATTTTAGTATGCATTTATATGGCACTTACAATATATAAAAGAGTTTTATGAGTTTTAAAAATGTACATAAACAAGGCATATAATAAATGGTATATCATTCTGCAACTTACTATTTTTACTCAACATTTATATTTCTGAGACTTTTCATATTTTTGAATGTATTAATAGTTTCACTTTAATTGATGTTTGCCATGAAATATCAAATATATCACATGTTATCTGAGTAAAAAGTAAACTGTATTTCCTATATTATGCTGTAGAACTTGCAGACTAATTTAGTTATAGGCCTCATTTGAGGCCCTTGCAAGTAGCCTGAATAAAACGTTTCATTATTTATATTATCATATGCATATATGTGTGTATGTATATATATGTGCATGTGCACACCTAGTAAAAATCTTAAATCAAAGCTGAAATAAAAAATTATAGGAGAAAATACTATTTTCTACCAATATCACAATGGATAATCTTTTTTAAATGACTACATATTTAGACAAGTTATGAAATACATGTATGAGTATGACATCAATAAGAACTTATTCTCTAACCATTATGAATAGAAATAATCATGGATTCTAATAGCAAATATTAAAATATTATTGAAATAACTAACTGAAGTAAGTCACTTTTTTTTCTTGTTTTTAGTGGGGAGATGTTTGATGCAACTGTGATTCATTCAGGGAAGAGGTAGAACCGTAACATTCTCACGTTTAAATATGTTTTAATGTTTTATGTTTTTTAATTCCACATGGGTGTAACCCAATTCTTAACTCTCAAAAATTATTTTATGAAAATTGGTGTAATAATTATGGTCACTATCAAAAAATTTAAGGTAATATTAACAGTATCTTCATTAACTTTAATTTTTAACAGTATCTTCATTAACTTTGAATTTTTAATATAAAGTGAAAAAATAGCATCCTTCATTTCCTATTAAGCTGTATCTAGAGAAAATACAATACGTAAATTGCTGTAATTTAAGGGCTGGAATTTAAATCAGAGTGTGTGCAAGGACGACATGAATGCTAAATCTTACCTTCATGTTTTGATGCTTTTCCCGGACTGAAATGTTAATTTACTTATTTTTATTATATAACCAGAAAATGGACTAATGGTACATGCAGTGTGGAAATACACAAGTGATATTTTAAAGTACCAAACTTCTCCACTTTTGCTGTGGCAATCCAGTGAGAAGATGTCCTCTGTCATATAATCTTTGTACAGGTCTGCACAAGGAAATATATTCCTCTACCTGAATTATTTAGCCTAAAATGAATCTATGAAGTTATTATAAAATACAATAAGAAGTGTAAAACAATACAGACATCCTTTCCAAAGCAAGTGCATGGATATCCTACATTTCAGTTACAGGGATAATTAGTGAATTTCCTCATTTAAAAAAGAAATTTTTATTCCAAGGATGTTTCTGCAATTATACCATTATTATATAATATACTACCTAGTGCCATGAAACATTCTGAGAGGTATCAGAGGAGTTGAGAGATTCTTCAGTAGGGATAGGAGATACTGTTTCATAAGAATTTCTTCATCCACAGTCTTCATCACCTGCCAATTTCTGGAAAAGTCAGGGTGGGAGTTTTTATCCTGCTTACCCACTGCCCATAGAACACATAAAGGGATCTGAGTACAGCAATGAAGGTTATATGAAAAACTTAGCACGTCTTAATATAAGAAAGAACTGGTAGCAACACTCCTGGCGAGCATTGAAAGAAGACATTCTTCCAGAACTGAAATCAGCAAGGCAGGAGTCAGAATGACGTTCTCATCATCAACACAGGCGTTTTGTTTCTCATTTGCCTATTTTATCCTTAGAACTTAAGTGACCTTGATTTAAGTGATGATCATTTTGAACACCCACTTTCGGAAGAAAATTCACTGAATCCTCTGGCATATGGGAGATCGTCATTTTTTAAACCTTTTCACTAAATACAAGGTAACTTAAAATTTACCTATGAATGTAATGGTTCATTCTGGAATAATTTCCTGATAAATACAGTTATTAAACTCAAACAAAATAATTGTGATAGTCAATAGAATGTTGTGGATACAAAATACCAGATGCTGGATTCAGACCAAGTGGGCCCATACCCCAGGATGAACACTTAGTGGCAAAGATAGTCCAAGGAAATTACTGACTTTCTGTATGCCTTCATTTTCTCAACTATAAAGTGGAGCTA